AAATTATTTTCGGTCTTATTTTTATGACAAACTCTTTCCAACCAAGAATATTGGTAGTGACTGGATCCCTAAGCGAATGATGACGAATTTCGATTTTTTAAAACTGACTTATAAATTTTCTAAATTTTTAAAATTTGTACCATAATATACCACTTTCGATGTACATAACATTAAGCATGTTCTGTAAATTGCTTAGTGTTTTTAGTCATTTTTGAAACAATTCTTTATTTTGAGGTGCAAGAACTGTGCATCAACTTAATAATTCCTCCTTCCTTGAAGGTGGTGGATCGGCAAGATTGACCCTAGTCAGATTTTGGTAGCGCTAGGTAGTAGACCCTCAAGTATACCCTAGCCCCAACCACACACTCCAATTCACGCGCTGAGTCCTGAAAACGCGCTTCAAAACTCCCCCAGCCCTGCCCACTTCTAATGAGTGGGCGTCATTGGTGGAACTTTGAAGCGCGTTTTCAGGACTCAGCGCATTAATGAGGGTGGGGTTGGGGCTACGGTGTACGTAAAGGGGTCTACTACCTATCCACCAAAATCCGAAAAGGGTACACTATGCCGACCCACTGCCTTTAGCACGTTGTGCATCCATGTCCAATCATCAAAAATAAATGTATTTGCCAATCTCATTACCTTTACTGAGCATCAAAATATTGAGTGGCTTGCAATGGAATGCTCGCAATTCTCTCATCACGCTAAACGAAAACTGTGAATTAAGTTGTAGGGAGGATAGTGCAAAAATTGCAAAATAGCATATATTGGCCAGGAATTCAGCGTTCTTACAAAACTAATTTCAGATGATGCAACCATTCGGTTGTTTTGAACTACGCTCCATACCACATTCACATTGGAAAGACCGTCAAGGAAAACCTTTGATCAACATCAAAGGAGCAGATCGGTCTATACTGCATGTGATGTTCTTCAAGAAAACTGTGATTGACTCTAAACTGTAAATGCAACCTGCTCAATAAAACTATAATTTATTATACTCCTAAGACAAAGGCTTAGCTTGCTGAAATTTAAGTGGCGGCGGTCGTTGAGTCTTCAGACGCTTTCTTATCACTTCTGGTAGCTCCTCGAGGCCCTTCCGTTCCTAAATTCAGAAGCAACCATGAGGCGCTATAGAATAAGGAGATCGCGAAAACTAACCGTCTGAAACGTTTCAAGAATGCTTATCAACGTTCGCGTTGACGCTACTGCAGTGCCATTACAAGTGTGTACAAATTTCGTCTCACCCTCTTTCGTCTTGTACTTGATTCCTGAAACTATTACTATAACATTCAAAAAAGTGGAAAATTTTGCACTTCAACACAAACAATTCCCTTGACTCAAAAAATGGACCAAAATGTGGTCTCTTTTTGTAGCAACTTATAACAACGTATCGTTTGTTTCAACTAAACGAATTTCCCAGCTGCATTTGATAAACGAAAATTACATTTCTGAGAAAAAACATACCCAGCCTCCTTGCTTGGTAATCCGTACAATTACTAGCGGATGAGACTTCGCCGTAGATCTTCCGTCCTGGCATCCATGCCTCTATGTCAATCTTACGAGCTGCTGGTGCTCCCAGTTCTTCTGTTGGCATCTCCATTTGCCTGAAGTGGCCTGGCATGACAAAAAATCGAGATCACAAGCAGCCCCCAATAACTCTCTCGAAATTGATAATTCATCACTAGTCCCATATTTCTGAATCAGTAATGCCTACCTGCAATGAAGCCCAAACGACTCGAATGTTCCTTTCTGTATTTCCACAAGGTAATTCAATTCTGCTTCACTTTGCTCTGGTGTACACATCACGTACATTTCAACCTGTAATGAGAATAGTCAATTCTTTTTCACGGCGGATAATTGAATTACCTTTGTGAATTCATGGACTCGATAGAGCTTAGCTTCACTGGCA